GAGAAGAGGGGAAGGGAAAAAGAAAAGAAAAGAAAAAAAAAAAAAAAAAAAAAAAACTCAAGTTGGACACGGGCCCTGGGCAAGGTCCCACTTGCACGGATTAAGAGATTCTGGCCGTTGATCCTTGTTATCTACGGTCAATATCGCTTAACTCGTGTAAGTGGGACCTAGCCCCTGGGGGGGAAACAAACAAACAAACGAACCGACAGACAGACAAACAATTTATTTTTATTTTTTCCCGTTTTCACCCTAAAGACAAAGGAATTCGAATAGACGCGGGAAGGAATTGAAAGGCGGGAAAGAATGCACAATACAAGAGGTCACTTTGACTTTGACTTTCACAGAAAAGAAAACATACAAGGGTCAGCCCAAGCGGAGGATGGTATACTCACTCTAGCACTCTGGGATTTTCCTGCATGTATCTGACCGGGATTCCACCTTTGGTCTAGATGTATCTCTGAACGGCATCCTTGTTTTTTTTTTTCTTTCCTTTTTCTTTTCCATCCTTGAGGGGAAAAAAAAAAAAAAAAACCCTTCTCTGTATCTATATCTTTCCAATTTAACGGATTTCCCAAGGACTGGAACGGAATTCCAGCTTGACCTGAAGGGTTTTGACTGCACTTGGGCCAGAGATCAGTAAAAGAGAGGCCTTTTTTTCTTTTTCTTTTTTAGTATGAGTATCCTGCATGGTGTGCCCATGAATATGAATACGGACACCTGAAGAGCATACTCACACTAGCACTTTCCTGGAAGTATCTGGCCGCAATTACGAACACAAGGGGGGACTCAAGGTATACTCACACTACCCTTTTCCCCCCAATAGAACGGTCATTATAGCTGTATTTACACTGAAAGATACCCCAAATTCAGCTAAGGGAATACCCAACACTACCTTCTTCCCCCTGATGCAATATACTGTCATTATAGCTGTATATGGACTGAAAGATAGCCCAAATTCAGCTATAATGACGGCACTTTGTATTCGGAGGAAGATTTTAGGACTTTTTGTGCTAAGCTCTGGACGTGATTGCAGTCAGATTCATCTCGGTATCTGAGTCAGCGTAATTGCAGTCGGATGATAGCAGGGCTTCGGGCTTGGTTTGAGTACGCACGGGTTCCTGCCATCAAGGGCCGAGTCCCACTAGCAGCTTTGAGTTTCCGCAACGCCTGGCTCTGGACGTGTTTGTGGATATGTGTAGAAATGGCGTCTGAGTTTACTTAAACGCACATCTCTGAGTACGCACGGGTTCCTGCCATCAAGGGCCGAGTCCCACTAGCAGCTTTGAGTTTCGGCAACGCCTGGCTCTGGACGTGTTTGTGGATATGTGTAGAAATGGCGTCTGAGTTTACTTAAACGCACATCTCTGAGGAAACTCAGCGCTGCTAGTGGGACTTGGGCCCGATCTGAATCTGAACATCTCACGTGCAGTTGGAAGTGAGGAGTAGGCAGTAGGGTTAGGCAGGTTGGTAGTAGAATCTTTAGTATAATATAGAATATAGGATAGATTAGGGAAGGTCTTGGGACTATTCTCAGACAGGGGATAGGTTTGATCTGAGTTTCTATTTGTTTGAATTTGGTTGGCTTTCCATGCCTTTTCTCTCATGTTAGGGCCTCCCAGTCGCCGCACCACTGTTGAAAATGCAATTTTGGGCATAGCCACACCAGTCTCGAAATGTGAAAAATGAGAACGAAGTTGCCGCTAGAACATGACCAGATGCGCCCGCCACATTTTTGTCTTTTTCACACTTCGAGAGTGGTGTGGCGACGCCCTTTGGATAGTTTCTCTTCGCCACCAAGGCTGTCGGAATTGGAGACGGGAAGAAAAAAATGGCAAGTTGTCAGAGAATGCCTCTCGACACCTCCTTCCAAGAGTTGTTGTTGAATCCCGACCCAGCCTGCCACTCCCGATGCTTTCAACAGTCCTCAGCTGCGCCATAGAGGCTCGCCACACAGGCTGTCGGAAGCCAAAAATTTTTGAAAGGTGTCAGCAAATTTTAGACAGTCCGGCCGTCGACAATTTCCCCCCCTATCACCACACAGCCTGTCGAGGGGGCGAGGTCGTCGAAAGTTGGCAAGTAGACGCCGCCTTTCGACAGGTGCTGTGTGGCGAAGGGGGAGTTGTTACATGGATGAATTTGTGCCCGCAAGCGGACCAGATGTCGATGCCGTTTTCGACAGCAACTGTTGACTACATACGGACAAACAAGCCACGGCTGTCAGGGAGCAGTCTCTGACAACCCAAATTCGAACGCAATTTTTGAAAGCCCGGCGGGGCACTGTCGAATTTCCATCACCTGCAGGCGGGAGGAAACGAGTTTTCGACAGTGGCTGTCGAAAGCACACATCTGACCCCTGTCGAAAAATTTCTGAACCAGAATTCGTCGAAAGTATGTGTGGCGATGCAAAACTGTCGAAAACTCAGTTTTCGACAGCCTGTGTGGCGAGCCTCATAGACTTCTCCTCGAAATTTTGGTGAGTGGTCGTGGTCGTCTTTTTCCATCTTGCATTCACAAGTGCTTCCACTCTACAGACTGTCAGTGAGTGCTGTGTGGCTAAGGGCCTGGCTCCACTACTCTAGACTCCCGAAGTTTCGAGAGTAATCTCAAAAAAAAAAAAAAAAAAAGTTTTGAGAGTAACGCCTCGCTCCACTTACTCTAGTACACTGGAACTCACTCATGACAACACCCTCCCTTCCTTTGAGAGCTGTCAGAAAGCGCTTCTCTCTCGAAGGGCACTCTCGATTTGTATAGAGTTCACAGGCTGCAACGCTCAGGTTTTCTAGCGTCCTCCCTCCTAGCCCCGCTCCAGCCTCTTTTTCCGGAGTGTGCCTCCTGCCCCAACCATCAGTCTGAGAACGAGATGGCGCTGTCATCTAGCGCTGCAGAAGGGCTGTCATGTAGCGCTAAGAAATTAGTGAGTGCTTCTATTGTTCTCGAGTCTGGAGTACTAAGTGGAGCGATGCTTCTTTTTTCAAGAGATCTAGACCTCTGACAGCTCTAGAAGCACTCACAAATTTTTTCGTGAGTCTAGTGTAGTGGAGTGAGAGCAAATTTGTGAGCGCTTCTGTTGTTCT